GAAAAAACACTGTGTGTAAATGTAACCTTGCATTTTGGGAAATTTTGATGGGAATTTGTTACTTTTCCTGACATTTTATTGATTAAACATTTGATGGATAATTTTTCAAAAAGAGAATGATTTGAACATTTGTAGTTATTATATGTTATTATTGATATACATTTTTACAGCCCTACTTCATGTTTAGCTAGTGAACACGTCAACACCCCCTGTGCAACATCACAATGTTATAAAACATTCAACATGATGTAGGTGGTGAAATAATCAGTTTCCTTTTCAATAACACCATGGCAGATAAAAATTATGTACAAGACACTAAGACAGCTAATCTTGATGGAAATACTGTGGGTGTGGGTGTTTGCGTATCATAATTGTATATTACAATAGTTAGTATGTTAGTATTCTCATGGTTCCTACAGCAGACTTCTTTCACACCTTCATGTCTAAAGAGGACCTCTTGGTATATGTTACCTGTGGAGCCCTTGTTTTTATGACTTTAAAATTATACAAATATGCTTATGTGAAATAAGGGTTTCTGTCACACTGGGCATGCCATCTCCTCAGCCCATTCATTAATTTTCCACTCACCACGCCTCGTCACTACACCTACCTGCCAGCCTATCACCTGTTCACACATTTCCCGCCCACCTCATCAGGCCAACAGCTCTCACCTGTGGATCATTATCTCCTGTCACTATAAACATGCCTGCTTCACGGAGTCCTTGCCAAATTGTTCTTCGCCTCCATGCAGGACTTTGCAACGTTTGTTACCGGACTGCTTCCTTGTAATCGACCCTGCCTGTCCCTGACTCTCCTGCTTTGTCTGCTCCCCGGTAAACCTCTCCACCTTCTGCTCTCGACCAAGAGCTCTGCTTCTGCCTTCCTGCTTCCTGTTTGCCTGTTTCCTGTTTGCCTGTTTCCTGTGGCTGTCTAGAAAGACCGTCATCCAGCTTTCCAAAGTAATTTTACTAGGGATGCACCGAAATGAAAATTTGTGGCCGTGGCCGAAGCCGAATATTATTAAACGCTTGGCCGAATACCGAGTACTGAATACCGAATATCGTTGTTTAGTTTTTCATTAGTTTTTGCAGATGAACCCCCTCCAGATTAGTGTTGTCACGGTACCAATATTGGATCCCACTGTGCAATACCAATGAAAATATCATGGTTCTGAGTAGTATCACGATATCACAGCGAAAATGAGGCAGATGTGCCTTTTGTCATTTATAAAAAGATAAATCACTTTTCTGTAATACATCAATGATATTTCAATGGAATAAATTACTTCTTGACTTATTCATACTTCAAAAACAGCATCAATGAGTGATTAACATAGGGGGGATCAAAATAAAATAAATAAATAAAATAAAAATCAACCAGCCACCCTCCTCCCCTGACAAGTCCCTTCATAAGTAAAGAACAGTCCCTAAAGTGCGGCGAAGAATAATCTGGCAACGAGAGTCTGTGAAGTTGGAGTCTTAATAGTGGCAGGGAGTAATGAGGCACAGATGAGCGGAGTTGGCTTGATGAAGTGGGTGTGGTGGACTGGCAGGGGTGGGAAATGTATGGACAGGTGATAGGCTGGCAGGTAGATGTGTTGGAGATGCGGGTTGAGTGGAAATCTGTTGGGTTAACTGAGAGAGTGGCATGTATGGCAAGTCAGAAGTGCACATTGTGACACCCTTTATGTTGAGCTCCAGGCAGAACCCTCTGAATTGGCTCCTGGTTTAACCTTTATTTAAGGTTCTATTAGACACTAAAAGGGGTTCTCCCATGTGGACAAGCTAAAGAATTCTCTATGGCTCTAGTTAGCACCTTATTTCTAAAAGTGTGCAGGACAAGAATGTGTAAGAAAGACTGTATATTAAAATTTGTCACTGTAGGAATGAAGGGAGGGAATTACCAAAACTACTGTATATAAAGTGAATTGTATGCTTCAGACAAGTCAAATAAATGTTACATACTGTTCTCCCCCTCTGCTGTGACTGTGTAATCTTGAGGCGGATTCATGTGAGTTCAGTGTTCCGTGTCTTTATTACCATTGCATTAGACGGAAACCCTACAGTGTTGTACAGTGGTATTCGAGTACAAAAAAATTTCTTCAGATAGTGAGAACACATCAATCTATTTCCCACTGATAATCCTCTAACCATCTTCTGTGGTCAGACTGAGTCCAGTAGTTCTAAAATGGTGTTATTTAATGGACAGAAAGCAAACAGGTCTCATGTTGTTTAGACAGTCAGCTGCATTTGAGAGTAACAAATTTCACAGTTTGGACCAGACGTCTGAAAATTAATTGGGCAACCAGAGGTGCACTTGATTTAATGACTTGATTTTTTTCTGTTTAGAAGTAATCTCACATGCCCGTGTAACACAATAAGGTGCTGTTCAAATAGTCCCAACTCCAGTTTTAAATGAGCCCATCTTTCTTCCAGGTCAGCAGCAAACTGTGGCTCATTAAAGGAGAAGAGAGCGACTAGAGAATCCAGGCTGATGGTAATAATGAATAGAGAAGGGAAGGCAGCAGCCGTAGCCTGCAGGCAGGATAACAACAGAGAGAAATCACGACGAGGAAATGAAGATGTTGGCTATTCCACTGTGGGCAGTCTGTGTGAGTGTGTCTGAATGACTTTCTGTGTCTGTCAACCAGAATGTGTGCAAGACATGTAAGCTATCACTCATGGAGAAAGATGGTAGCAACACAAACGGAAAAAACCCCCACAATGCCCAATCTCTACATACTCAAAGTATGAGTGTGCCATATTTGCGCCATAGCTGTTTTGTTTTTTTTCTATTTTTGATGTGAACCCCCTGTTGCCAGAGGACAATGTTGGCACTGTACATTTCTTCAAACCACGAATATGCTACATTTGCACATTTCATTTGTATCTTATCAGCATTTCTAAAGTGACGTGGTATATGAGCTGACTTTGTCATTGGGAGATGGAGGGGATGGTGGATGGTGAGACACTTAGTCGGTACGCCCTCCAGGCTTAGGAACACTGTTTTAGACCAACAAACAACAAAACCAGTTGTGGTTTCTTTTCATTGCTGTATTTCAGCTGCATTTTTGGGACTAGTCATACAGGCATAAATTATGTTAATTTTATTAATTAATATAAGATAATATAAGCTTATTAAAACTATGCACAGAGTATTTTAGCTTAAACATTTTTATTTAAAACACGTCAGTACAAACAGTCTCATGCACAGCCGAGTAGCATGCCTGGACACACAAGTGCATTTGAACTCTGCTCAAGCGGAGCTTACACCTATGCTCAGGCACACTAAGGGTGCTCTACTCATAAGCAGAAGTGTTATATATTCTTATATAATGTTTTAGCCAAAATGCATGTGTTCGGGAAGTACTGAGCATACAACTGGATAAATGAGACTGGGATTATACTGCCACACAGAGCGCTGCACAGGTCCATTTTTGAAAACCGACTTCCACCCATACCCATAAAGTTCAGTACCAGAACCGACCCGTTACCTGTCAGTATGTCCAAGTCAAAGCACCTGCCCGTTAATAAAAGCCTACAGTCACTCACATTAAGTTCAAACTGATAAACCTTTTTGTATACCTACACTCACTTTACAACAAAACCATACAGTAAACGGTAAATATAGTTTGTCGCTGCTTCTACAAATGAAAGTTCAGACTTTACCATGCAAAGTCAAAGCCATATATCAACAACAGTCAGGAATACCACTGACTTCTCTTGGCCGGAGCTCATCTGAGATAGGCTGACATAAAATGGAAAAGTGTACTGTGGTCTGACAAGTCCATCATGGACTTTGTGTCCTCTGGGCTAAAGAGGGAAAGGACACTCCTGATTGTTAACAGCTCAAAGTTCAAAGCCAGCATCTGTGATGTTATGGAGCTGTGTTAGTGCCCATGGCATTATGGGTAACTTGCACATCTGTCAGGGCTCTGTGAATCCTGAAAGTACAGGTTTTGGGGCATCCAGACAAAAAGTTTGTTTAGGCCTGCTTCTTCAAGCAAGACAATGAGATGCATTCTGCACATGTTACAGCAGTGTGGCTTTGTAGTAAAAGACTGTTGGTGCTAAACTGACGTGAATGCCAGACCTGTATCCTATTGAAAATGTGTGGCACGCCATGAAGTACAAAATATGACAATAGAGACCCCAGACTGTTGAGCAACTGCAGTCATATATCAAGCAAGAATGGGAAAGAATTTCACTTTCAAAACTTGAACAGTTAGTGTTTCAGTTCCCAAAAGCATACTGAGTGTTGTTAAAAGAAAAGGTGATGTAACACAGTGGTAAACATGCTCCTGTCCCAACTTTTTTTTTGAAAATGCTGCAGGCATCAAATTCAGAATGAGTGATATTTACAAAATAATAAAGTTGAGTTTGAACATTAAATATCTTGTCTTTGGATTGTATTTAGTGAAATACAGATTAAAAAGTGTTTGCAAATCATTGCATTCTAGTTTTATTAATGATTTACACAGCATTCCAACTTATTTGGAATCAGGGTTGTAATTTGGAGTGAAAATTAAGGTTGGACTTAAGCTTTTACCTAGAATATCCACTGTAAACATCTGTTAGATCTTGCAAAGCTAAACTTTCTTGTTCAACCTATTTCTGCAAAGTCAGGCCAACACTGCTGCTACACTACTCCCATCAGTGCTCAGCAATTTAGATCAAGCTGCAGTAAAATGTTATCAGCCAATATACAGGATGGGCACAGCTTATGTTGTTAAAAAAAAAAACAAAGAAAAAACCCCAGGAAATTCGGTAACTATGAATGTCTGTTTTTTGATAGAAATGTGGCTTATTGTTCACACACACACACACACACACACACACACACACACACACACACACACAGATCACTTTTCCGCAGTCCCACGGAGCTGAGAGAGTTTCTGTGGAGCTTTGACGATAATCAATGCTGCAACAGGCTTCAGTGAGTCTGCTTTTACATCCAAGTCTACATGTGTAAGTATGTGCGTGTCACTCTCTCTCCAGTTGAGCTGAAAGAGCACCTGCAGAGCTTTGTGGAGGAGACCAACGCTCAGCACGGTCCGGGATTCATCAAGGTGGTCCGCCATGACAAGCAGGAAGGGCTGATCAGATCCAGGGTCAGTGGATGGAAGGCCGCCTCTGCTCCTGTCGTCGCTCTATTCGATGCACATGTGGAGTTCAACACTGGATGGTGAGCAGCTGGCTTCAGTTTATACTGTATACTGTAACTAAAGCATGTGCAAGAAAACCAACATCAAGCAGTTACCATTTGTGGAAGAAGTACTCAGACCATCCACTTAAGTAAAGATAGAGATACCACAGTGTAGAAATACTCTAATAAAAGTCAAGTGTTCAAAATTCTACTTAAAGGGATAGTGCACCCAAAAATGAAAATTCAGCCATTATCTACTCACCCATATGCCGACAGAGGCCCTGGTGAAGTTTTAGAGTCCTCACATCCCTTGCGGAGATTGGCGGGTGGAGCGGCTAGCACACCTAATGGTAGATGGCGCCCCAGACTAACGTCCAACAACACAAAATTGAAACCACAAAGTATCTCCATACTGCTCATCCATAGTGATCCAAGTGTGCTGCAGCCGAGACATAAAAAGTAGTTTTGAAAAACGTCATATGAACTCTGTTTTTAGCCTCACTGTAGCCTGTAGCTCTGACTGCTTCTCTGTGCTCCGCGCTCACGTGTGCGTGCGCTCGGGGTGATTGGTGATCTCTGAAGAGCAGCAGTCTCATCAGTACTGATGTCCAGATTCTCAAGTGCAGGCATCGCCAATTCAACGCTTTCCAGCTCCTCCTGGGGGATCCTGAGGCATTCCCAGGCCAGACGAGATATGCAATCCCTCAAGCATGTTCTGGGTCTGCCTTGGGGCCTCCCATCAGTTGGACATGCCCAGGACACCTCTAATGGGAGGCGTCCAAGAGGCATACTGATCAGATGCCTGAACCACCTCAACTGACCCCTTTCGATGTAAAGGAGCAGCGGCCCTTCTCCGAGCTTCCTCTGAATATCCGAGCTCCTTACCTCAGGGCTCAGCCACCTCTGAGCCTAGCCATCCTTCAGAGGAAACTCACTTTTGCCAATTGTGTCTGTGGCCTCATTCTTTTGGTCATTACCCATAGCTCATGACCATAGGTGAGGGTTGGGATGTCGATGGACCATTATATCGAAAGCTTTGCCTTCCGGCTCAGCTCCCTCTTCACCACAACAGTCCGGCACAGCCCCTGCATCACTGCAGATGCCACACCAATCCACTGATCTATCTCACGCTCCATTCTACCCTCACTTGTGAACAAGACCCCAAGATACTTTAACTCCCTGGCTTGATGCAGTAACTCACTCTAAACCTGGAGGGGGCGATCCACCTTTTTCCAGCAGAGAACCATGGCCTCAAACTTGGAAGTGCTGACTCTCATCACTTAACGTTTGGCTGCAAACTGCCCCAGTGCATGCTGGAGGTCACGGTGTGATGAAGCCAATAGAACCATATCATCTGTAAAGAGCAGAGATGCAAGTCTGAGGTCACCAGTCCAGACCCCTACTTCCCCCCAGCTGCACCTTGAGACCCTGCTCCTGAGAGTACCATTTAGAGGTAAAGTTGTTTGACTCCACTACCAAACAAAATGGATCAATTGTGTGCTTTGAAGAATATGAAGAATATATTAAAAAAAAAAATACAGCAAAATGCAACAATGTTGCTGTAAATAAGAGAGGAATGCTGGCAGAAAAAAACTACATCTGTAAGTGAATATTTTTATTTTTTACCACTCAGTGTCCATCATTTATTTCTGACGAGGTGATTCCCCTTTTTGAGTTCTTAAACTTTTAACTTGACGCAGCAGATTTAAATTATTTCTCAAAAACTGCATTTTGGTCTAAGACTGTGCCATAAAGAAGGGTACGTGAAATCATTTTAGTTTTTGGCCGAATCAAAGTTTTTTATCCTTAATATTAATATTATTTATACTGGTTCAGTTGTATCTGTGATAAATACCAATACACTAATTAGTTCTCCAATTTGTGCTCTATCAGCTGTACCAGCAGTATAAAATGCACCTCAGCAGATCAGGAAGCATTAAAACATAATTCAAAATGGTAACATTATGGTTTGAAGGAATACCACATTTAATATGAAAGGAAGCATCCAACCAAATTACCAGAAAAAAAATGTTGGTTTTGTATGTATCTGCAAACCACAGATATGTTACATTTGCACATTATTATAGTGTGTGTGTTGAATCTTTACATTTCAACAATACTGTGGTTAACGTGTAGTTAGGTACAGGTACAAAGAACACTTGGTCTTGGAAAAAATTAGGTTTTGGCTTACAATACCTGGTTTTGGGGGGCGCAGTCCCTGTTGAAAATACACAGTGAAGTCTATGTAAAAAAAAATCGGCATGATACGCGGTCGGTCACCGTTATTGTTTAACAACGCCCGACATCCCAGAATGTCAGCAACCAATGCACCCAGGGTACCTTGCACGTCATATCTCAACGTGGAAAGTCCATGATTGAATGTTGATATGTGACGAGGTGGGAGGTGGGGTCAGCTGGTTTTGTTGCTTAAGCAGTGGTGGTCTGCATCTTGGTGACACACCATCGACCATCCCTCCATCTCCAGATTACAAAGTTGATTCATTTATGACATCACTTTAGAAATTTTGATATAATACATATTTGTATTGAAGAGGCTTTCACACACCAGGATAATCAGCTTCTGTCATCAGGTACGTTGGCACAGCAGAAAGTGCTTAACATGGAAAAAAGGATTGCCCGCACGGTAGGGTTGCACGGTATACTGGTTCGTACCGAAAACCGGTCTTTGTTTTCGTTATGATATGAATTTTTCATACCGGAGAACAAGAACAACTTTGCAGATAACATAGAACAATGTTCTTGTCCAGATTTTCTTTATCATCAACTATGTATTGTAATTTCGTAATGTAGTAAGCTATTCAGGGTTCGACGTTAAGGTTTTTTCCTACTTGCCCTGCTGGGCAAGTACTTCTCAAATCTACTTGCCCCATCTAAATTCTTACTTGCCCTGCTTAAGAGGTTCTTTTTCTGGCTGTGTTGTGCATATTTTTTCTCATTACTTATATTTTACGTTAGCAGAGATGCTCATCCAATGGAGGCAGCAGCACATAAAAAAGCAGCACACTGCAACTGGCCCCTCCGAGGACAGAAACAGGAGAGGAAATACACAATTACAGGCCTGGAATTAAGTCATTTTTTAGGGCAAGGCCACTTTGGCCTTTGATAAATACAAATTTATTGGGGCATCACGGCCAAAATGTGGGGCACCAAGGCCAAAACCAGTGGCGCAATAACAATATGTGCTAACTACACTGAATGAAGACAAAACAATATGTGTGTTGAAAAACAGTACTGAGTTTATTAAAACTGGGTGTGCATGACTGGGGATATATCTCGTTTCTTGTTGTTTTGATTCATGTCCCTTATTTTTTAAGTCTTTGAAATCACTCTCTTTATTCTTTTGTTATCTCCTAGTTATTAAGAAATTATTATTAGAAGAAGATTCATTATTGTCCTTTCTCAGCACATTACATACATTTGACCTTTGCATTTGACCCATCCTACTGTAACTCTAGGAGCAGTGGGTAGTCGCAGTGCAGTGTCCGGGGACCAACTCCAGTTCTTTTGCCAATGCCAGTGGTCAGGGTCACTGACAGGAGTATTCACCTAACATAATCTACATATCTTTAATTATATAATTATTTATATGTCTCTATGTATGTTTTTACATAAATCTCCAATATTTAATTTGCCTTTAAAAAAATTCTCTTCCTTCATTTAATTTGACAATGTTTATTGTATTGTATTATATGTATTAATTCTCTACAGGATCTTGTATGTTCTTTAATGTGTGTTCAATTTATTAAAAGAAAAAAACAAAAAACGTTTTGGTGAACCCTGCAGCAAAGTGAACCCTCTTCCTCAGAGAGGATCTTTGCCTCCCAGTTTTTTCCTGGCAACAGAGCAGAGTGATCCGTCTTCCTTCTCAGAGGATCTTTGTCCCATGAGAGCAGGCAGCTGTTCTCCGTGTCTGCATTTAAAACATCTTTCGCTGGCGATTTGACAGTCACTAGAAGCACATTATGACCCTTTGTAAAAGTTTCTGTGTGGTACCTGTGTTGTACATGAGCTAACGTTTGCGGGTAAGGAAGGACTGAGAGGCTGTCCGGTATGTGTGTGTCCGAGTTGGTGCTGCTTGCCCGATCGGGCATGTCTGCGCAGGGTCTGCTGGCCCGCCGGCTATTTTTACTTGCCCCAGGCATTTGGGCAACCGTTAATGTCGGACCCTGCTATTGCTGTGTGTCGACACACATTTCTCTGGCTGTTGCTTCTTCCTCATCTCACCTGTCTGCCCCTATCCGTGTTCATTATTACCTGCCCTCCTCTCTGTACACAAGTGAGTTCTCAAGTGTGAAGGGCAAGTTAATATCCAGCCAGCATCATTGAAAGTGGAGTTCACAATGGAAATGTTGGCATTCAGAGAGGTAGCCTTGATAGATGCTTCATAACATTAGACAGCTATAGGTATCTTGTAAAAGCCTTATTAAGCTCATGAAGCTTCACACTTGATAATAATAACTAGTGTTGGCAGGGCCATTTCTAAACATTTTGGGGCCTTAAGAGATACAACCGCCTTTTTGAGACACAAGGAAGCTTCAACTTTAACAAAGGGGGAACATGCTGACATATTTTATGTCGCACAACAAAATATGAAATTCTGTTTATGTTAACCACAGACCTTATTTTAGACATCTAACCAAAAATCTATTCAAAAAATCCATTGACTTTGAGATGAGAGAAGTGGGACTGCTGTAGTGCTAACTCATTTACAGGTTTTAGAATCCACTCCTGGAGCACTCTGTTGGGATTGACCAGCCTTGCAGCCAATTTTTTTTCCAGTAGCCACTTGGGGTATTTCAGCAAAAAATACACTCAGAGGGATCTCATTCAGCGGTTCTCTTGGCAGCAGCACAGCGTCTCTCCCTCTCCTCTCTTGCCAGGCGCACACGGGAGTCGGTGTCATCTCGTGATTTTGTCATAAACTTTTTGTAACGTAAAGCTACATGATGCTCATGTCTCGATAAATAGCCTACTACATACATGTAAATGTGCAATAGTTATGGTACCATAACAGCCTG